GTAGAGGAGGCCTGGCCCCTGCCCGTTGGGCCGGTGGTGGAAGTCTGCGAGATGGCCCCCTTGACACCAGCCGTGACAGCGCGCTCCACCGTCTTCTCCAAATCTTGGAGTGTGTAGTTCTTGGACGGAGGGGGAGTTTACCGACCACATCAGCGGAGACAACAAGAGCAACGTTTCAGCAGGTTGCCTTCGGTAGCCTGCGGATGCCAACAGAAAGCAGCATCTCGCACCTCCGAAATTGCTTTCAAGAAAAAACAGCATGGGCTATCGGTAAACCTTCCAAGCTTCATCATGGGCTACCGGTAAACCTTCAAAGCTTCGGCGTACCGAACGCTCGCGTACAATGATAACAAGCAGGGGCCGAGCGTGTCACACCGAGAATTTCAGGAGGGCGTGGGCATGTATTCTTAGCCGTGCATGCCCTAGTCGTGAGGAGGGTGAGCTCGCAACCCTACGACGCCGAGACGCAGCAACACCCTCACCGCAACCACTACGCCGAACTTCGAGCCAATCAGCCCCGCGACCGTATCCCCAACCTCGCGGCTGTTCAAGACATTTCCCAGCCGCTCGCCGAGGAAATGACCCAGACGCTGCCCGCTCGCATAGCCCCGAACGTCCATCCACTGGTCCTGCACAGACATGTACGCAGGGACCGGTAGGGCCAGGTGTAGTAGGTGTGCAATTATCTGTCTCTCTGGGTTGACGGAAGCGACATGCTGGATCACATGATGAGCAGGTTTGACGAAACAAGCGACCAACGTTGTTTGTATCGGAGTGCAGGAGACAGGCAGCAGAAAATGTAATCTAGGTGTTCTGTTGGGTTTGATCTAAAACCGAACAAGAGAGCATGCGTGTTTTTCACCATCACACCAAGCCCTTGCAGGGTGTTTGCTTTCATCAAGCACTTGGCTGTTAATTCAACTTTTTGGCATACCCAACACGTGAGCGTAAGTAGACGCAAAAACTACACTTCGTAGACAAAGGAGACACCTGCCTCTTGCTGGCTCTTCCTTTTTGTATTCCCTGTCCCGACCCGTCTTCCCAGTTTCGCAGCGGGAATCAGAGTTTGAAACTACCATTGGGAATTCCCGCATCTATTCCCCAACCGGAACGGGAATATAAACCGCCAAATACAATATAAGAAGAAGGGAGTTGAGTTTGAAAGATGTGTATTGCTGTTGGTTCGGTCAGTGAAGGGGTAGCAATACAAGGCCACCGGTGACACGACAAGAAACCTGTACAGCAGTGAGCGTCCAGAAGTCGACCAAAATCAGTCTCTGAAAACCACGTCACAAGAAGCACCATGCACAAAGCTACGGGCGGATGGCGTGGTGGTATCTGCTGGTTCCGTCAGTGAAGCTGCTGTCAACAGCTGTGTGTTCGAACGGGAGGTCTTGATCGCCAACTTCAATTCTCGACCTTCCAGCGCCTCACGATCTACGAATAACAACCACCCCACATGAGGCACCATACGCACAGAGATCCCCGAAACGTCCAACCACCAACCGGTGATGAGGTATGTAGTGGAAACTCAAACGGCCGCCTTCCATGGCCAGCAGTGAAAAAGAATCGGCGGACACAATGTCGTCGATGTTCCTTCTTCTCGAATGCGAGATTGCACATTTTCGAATTTCATCAAATAAAAAAAAATAGAGCAGCTGTTTCCCGCCCATTAGCTAAAAACATTTGAATGAGCCGCGGAGCGCGAAGCGCGAAGCGCGACCATTCTTTCCCGTCCGTCCGAGGAGGGAAAATACCGACTCTTATCTACCAGGAACCCAAGTTTCAATAAAAGGCCGCCCCAACTTTCCATCCTCTTCGACCAGCACGAGGTCAATACAGCACCGATTGATGATATGCTGGCTTGTGAGGAACAAGAAAAAAAGTGCGCTCTCCAACACACCGGTTTGTGGTCGTGTTCCGACAGAAGATGGCCGTGCTTCACCGGCATCTACACCCACCCCGACCGCCGCGGAGTTTAAGAGAAAATGCAAGGCACGGCATCGTAGACTTCCCACCCAACAGACACACCCGTTGGCTGGTTCACACCAGGAGAAACAGAGGAAGCACTCTGTGAAACACGCAACACCGCCGGGATTGGCAAGGCAGCACTGGCGGGGGAAGGGGGCACCGCACACTAAAGCAAGGATGGATCTTTTCTCGCGAAACGCGCGGACGATGACTGGATACAGCACATCCGCGAGAGACTTTTTTCTGCTGCGAATAAGATCAATTTCGGCCAATAGACCGGATCTTGCCAATTCGTTGGTTTGATGCAGAGCAGAGAGCACACCCCACACAAGCACGCGTAAAGCTTGCTGCCTGCGCCAGCGGGCGCGCTGAGAGTGAACTGCATAGTCTTCCTGGCCTTACTAGCCTTTGTCAACACAAAATTCCAAGCCAAAAACGGTATTCTGAAGGAGGGACGAGCGTGGAAAGTAGATGGGAAATATCGCTGGTGAACACAAACAAAAAGTTGTCCAACACGCATTCAAACAAGGCTATGAACAAGCAACGGTCAGAAGCCCGCCCCGGGTGCTTCAAGGTACACAGCAATACTAGCGAGAGACCAAGAGGTTCCGAACAACCCTATGCTCGTAAGGAATAGATCGGTGTAGCGCTACGGCGTGGCCTGTAGGCCACAGGAGCAAGTTGTTGGGTCTCGATGACCTATTCAAGTAGGTGATCCGGTCTAAAAACACACCCACAACTGAGAACGCGAAGGGAATACGTTGCAATCGAGTTCTTACCTCATTGCTGGCTCCCAACTGCTTTGCTCATTTTCGGTCCGTGGAAACGTTGGGTTGCTTGAACACTTTGTTTTATCCCTTACCTAACTTGCATGTGAAACGAGCAAGCCCGACAGAAGGAGCAGGGCTTTGCTTGCTCGTTTTCTAACGCAAAAGCAAGCACCAACGGGCCGGATCTTCCTGGTAGTACGTCAGACAGCCGAAAATGGCAGCACAGCACGCCAGCTGCTGCTGCGCTTGCAAGCAGCTAGGCTCCCGTGTGCAGCGACACGTGCGTGATGAGCGCATAGATCCATGCTACCAAGTGGGGTGAATAACTCTCAGATCGGTTGCGCGTATCTCGCCCAAAGGTGAGAGAAAACGTCTGCTGTCGGTTTGATTCACCGCAAATTCAAAGAAAACATCGTTCGTCCTTGTTTTTCTGTGTGGAACAATCGAGTGGCAAATCTCCGACAAATTTTGAGTGGGAGCAAAAGGCAAGTGTGCTTTGGCCTCTTGGGTCCCACATGATGGTAGAACCTCGAAGATTGTCAACCTCACTGTTGAATTCCGCCTGGGTGAACACGCTCTCACGCAGGTTGGACATATCGCGAGACATCATGAATCTAAACGGCAAGGGTTTCAAGGAGCAAAACGAGAGCGCGCGACGGCGAGAAAGGGCAAACAACTTGTTCGAGAAAAAATGATTCTTGCGGAAATACCGTTCGTTGTACTACACAGCATGCTCTCTCATCCTCGCTCTCTCGCCCCAGTAGTGGTAGTGCAGAGTGAAACTGAAACGCAGCGACAAAGTCAGCAGATAACCAAACTACACGGCCACCGACGGAAAACAGTGTCAGAGGTGGAAGCCCCGAAAGTTTTAGCTTCACCCTGACCTGAGAGGTCAGAGTGAAGCTTGGCGTGTCATCCCCTTTCACCCCCATGGTGGTGATTTTGCTGTGTACAGGCAAACATGTCTCTTTTCGTGCTGGAACAGAAACGAAGATAAGCCTGGCCATGGGTTCAAACGCTGATGCCTACAACGTATCAACGGTCTGAGGGTGGCTGCATGGAATAGGGGGCAACCTCTGGCAGTCACCCTACCGTGGGAATCACGGCTGCAGTCGTTGATATACGCTCTCAGGCGTGGCGCGTGCTCGCTTCTTTTTCTTTCTTTTTTGATATGTTTGTTTGAAGGTAACTTGATTTTTCCAGCTATATTTAAGCGATATTGTTTCTCAGAGAGAACCATCTACATTCCACGCTCGTTGCTCCTTCAGAATACCGTTGTATGGCTTGGAGCATCGTGTGAAAAAGGCTAGTAGGGCCAGGAAGACTATACAGTCCACTCTCAGCGCGCCGGCTGGTGCAGGCGGCAAGCTTTACGCTTGTGTGGGGTGCGCTCTCTGCTATGCGTATCAAACCAACGAATCGGCAAGATCCGGTCTTCTATTGGCCGAAATTGCTGCAGTGGCATCCCCTGCGGTTGGTGCCTAGCTTATTCGCAGCAGAAAAAAGCATCTCGTGGAGGTGCTTTATGATATCCAGTCCTTGATGTTGTGCATACGGGGATGGCTGCTGTGGTGACTGCGGACTTACGCGTGCAGACAAAGACATCGTGTGCTAGGTGCAAGTGAGATCAAACAGCGAGCGCAGCACTGGGGGGAGCACTGGGCAGCACGGAGCAGGGCTGGGCAGGGGCCCAGAGGAAGAACACGATCTGAACGGCGACCAGCTGCTGTCACCACATCATGGTTGGTACACCAAAAACACCCGTGTGACAAACTCGAAGCGCTGTCACACGGGCGCAGATCCCGCAACCTACAGTGGTACCTGTTATGCACACATACACACATTTCTTCGCATCCTGCGGTCTTTGCAGTTGGCTACTGCTGTCTGTGTGCCCATCGCACGAAATACTGATGCTGCTGTGAACGTTTTTTAACACGAACTGCAAAACGAAGCAGAGGACAACAAAATGTGTACAATCTGAAAGCGAGGAGATTTGAACGGGGGCGAAAACAAAGAAGGCGAGACAGAAGGGTGTGGGTCAGATATTGTGGGCACAAGAATCACGTCAGATACACCGCTTCGGCGTCTCTCCTCACCTTGTCTGAGAGGTCTGCCACTAACACTTCAGTCTTGTTGTGGATTTCGTCCACCTTTTCTTGCATCTCCCTCCTTTTGCGGTCACTGATCTCAGGTGGTGATGTTGTTGTCGAACGAGCCTGGGGGCGTTCGGTGCTGCTGAGGCGTGTGGTGGTTCTGCTCATGGCGCTGGTGAGCTGCTGAGGGTGTGTGCCTCTCGCGCCTACCTGTTTGAATCGTGTAGGGCAAACAAGCGATTGCTGTGACCAATCACGATGGTTGACGCTAGATATACTTTTTTTCTCGGGGTACCCCGTTTCGACGTCACCGAAATCCCGGACCCCCTTCCCCCCCCCCCTTTTCCAGATTTATACAAGCATGAACCCCCATGCACATACGTTCTACATACGAATCCGCATTTCTTGAAGACACACTCAAGGACATTTATTGGTCTCACGTTAGCGGCATACACGTCTGCTTCGATGAGCAGCAAGCACCCAAGCCCTGACCATTCGTATGGTTCTGGCTTTGCGTGCCGTCGTTGCTGCTTCGTGTTCGAAATCAGACAGGCATACGACCATCATGTTTGCGACCGAAACGCTACAAGGAAACGAGGGAGAAAGATTGCTCAGCATCATCCCGTTGTTCCGCCGCAACAGACACAAGGCGGCGGCGGCGGCGTCTCGTCTTCTTCTTCTTCTGCTGCTGCTGCTGCTGCTGCTGTGCGTAACATATATGCTCCACGCCGCCGTTGATCACACAGCATCATCAGCAGCAGAAGCAGCAGCAGCAACGGCGGCGACGGAATCTTTCGCAGAAACATGAGCATTGATAGCCACGACAGAGATGAGGAGGAAGAAGGAGAGGAGAAAGGAGAGGGAGAGGAGGAGGAAGAGGAAGACATCAGCAGTAGCGACGAACTAATAAACTGTGGAGCCGGGGGGAGTGGAGACGGCGATCAGCCCGGCGGTGGCGATTTTGGCGACGGCGGTGGCGTTGGTTGCGGGGGGTGGGATGACGATGAAGGCGACGACCCATTTTTCGAGGGTCCGCAAGACGGGGACAGCAACGGCGGTGACGGCGAACAGCCCGGTGGAATCGACGAACAGCCCGGCGGTGGCGAGCTTGGCGACGGTGGTGGTGGTGGGGGCACCAGGGGATCGAAAGCTATGGAGGATGACGAGACGGAACCGGTGTGGCTTGACAAGTCGCACGAATCCCTCCACAGCATGGGCAAGCGCCGCCTGGTGGACGCCGGGCCTGATTCCCTGGCATACTCCTTACGGGCCTTGGAACGAGGAGAGTATGAACCATACGAAAGCTTTACCCAGGCCTTGCTTGCGGCTTTCACCAGGATTGCCTCACCGTCGCGGTCCCAGCTTGGCCTGCTCTTCCATTGCCTGCGGCAGACCGACAAGGACGGCAATGGGATCAACCCCGTCGATGCTCCCGATAGCGCGGACCACTTTCACAGGAATATGCGGGCTCGCTCTCCCGTGTTTCCCGTCTACGGGCAGGACTTCCGGGAGAATGGCAGCGGCGGGGCTGCAACTTCGGGGGTCGAGGACGCGAGCGACGGTCCCACCAGGCTGGCAGCGTCGATCCCTGCCGGTGTTATGATACAGTGGATGCTCGACTGCCCCGGATTCGTCGAAAAGCTGTTGGCCAACACGTCTGGGCATACGTTGTCGGAGTCAGACAGGGTCAACGGAAGGGTGCCCGAAGCTCATGCCATGCCGATTCCTACGCGGAGAACCGATGGGGTTCGACAGGGTGCAACGTACGGCGATATTGCCGCTAGTTCGCCCATCTTTGGAATCGACTCGATCATGGTAGGGCAGGGCGACAAGGAAGACCGTGTGGTGGTGGGTGACACTGTTATGGTGGTCGACCTGCCGTGACAGGCGGAGGGGACCGATGCACTGCCCTGCCGGCTCGAGTCGTTGGTATGGAACAAGGATTGCGACATCGCCGGTGGTGGCAGCGACGACCGCATCGTAGCACGTGTTCAGCGCTGTTTGCTGAACAATGACCTCTCCGCGGAAATGAAGGTAGAGGAGGATGCCCCCGGTACCGAGACCGGCGTATGGGAGGTCACGAATGACGGCGTGGTTCTGGACACGACCTTGAAGTTGGTGGGGAGGTGTTAGGTCGTCGTTTCCGACGACCTACACACGGGCGAGGATGGGAGCGCGTCGCCTAGTTTTAGGGGGGTTGGTTTCGTCAAGAGGCTTCGGACCGGGCGGCACACACCCCTGCCTTCACCAAGCCCTACAGCCAAGCACCTTCCCTGGAGACCAGAGGGAGCAGAGCGCCTCTTTCACGATCGACGACGGACAGGAAACCATTGGAACCATGACGAGGAGCGCTTAGTGTTCTTGACGCCGGCCCATCTGTTCACGGACGCCTTCGACTTTCGCAACCAGGTGTGCATCCTGTTTTTTTTTTTTTTCGTTCCTTGTGTCCCTCAATTTTTCCAGTGGGGACGCTTCCACCCTTTTGTACATGTAGGATTCTGTCACGTTTCATGCTTTGGCACTTCTTTCTCTCTCGCGGCGGCGAGTCTTTTCTCGCGATTTCTTCTTGAGGGCACACAGGAGCTTCGTCGGTACAATATCGCTCGTGCCCGGAGCTCCGTAGGCCTCCGTATCGCGTGTGGTTGGCTGTCAAAGCTGCCAAAACTGGCTCTACACCCCGGGGGCGCGTTCCGCGCAGACAAGGCCTGGCAACCCAATTCTGAAACCCATCAACAACGACAGTTTGAAATATTTGCCTCCACACTCATTCATGCATTCGCTGATTCCACATCGCTGTGACTCTTCGTGTCATCGCAATGTCCAAACAGTACCCACCCACGTTTGCTCATTTACAATTCGCGGCGTTGAACAATATGTTGTTTGTGATGTTGGTTTCGGATTCAGATTGGGTTCTTATTGGAAATCTGCCATCATCTATCCCAAGACCACTCATAAAAGAGGTCTGAATTTTCTTTGGCAAGTTGTAGTCCGCTCGAGCTGGCTCCAACGTGGAAACACTGTACGTGCGCGATGTTTTGTACTGAATACGAGCGTTACACGCCGCCCCTCTTCGGGAAAATGCGCGTGTGTTCCTGGGTCACCCATGTCCCGAACGGAGACCTTGTACAATACATATAGGCGTGCCTGTCTGGAGGCGTGGGGTGTCCACCCGATTTGCTGTTTAGCGGAACCCACACGACGTGCGTCCCGACATGTGTTTATATACTCCGGGTACGTTTTTTCCTGTCTCGCCCGACTCGCACGGAGTAGTATCCTACCCCATCAAAGCTACGCTGCTCAGCCCTTTCGCGTCGACCTCTCAAGCGTTTCGTCGTCAGCTTGGGGCATGGCCGTTGGTCGGCCTTTCAGCGCCTAGGGTGAGGTGGAAGGACGATTTGGGCTTCATTTTGGAGGCTATCAGCGTTCTGCAGAAGGGGTGCCGGGCAAGGCTCGCGACTGCGGACAAGGTCAAGGAGGTGAGCTATAGCTGTCAAGCGACCTTATATGAGTGTCGCCTGGCGAGGGAATGAGTGTTTTATCCTCCTCAACGTCACATGAGGAGTGGCAGGACGGAGATGGCAGAACCGCGGTAGCGAGACATGTGCCAGACTGATGATGGAGGTGGCAAGAAGAACTTCTTATTGCTACCCATTCCCCCCCTAGGAGCTCCCTCTCGTTGCCCCACACGTGACGGCGGTGTACTAGGACCCTCCGACTCTTGTCATCGATTCGTCATGACTGCTGGAAAAAAAATGCACATGCTTCATCTGGGTTCATTTTGTCTCGTTTTTGGCATCGCTTGTCCGGCAAGCACGGGCAATGGGCCCACTCTCCCTTTTTCTTCTTGTCTTTTTTGTTGCCTTCTCGGGTTCGCTAGATACACTGTGCTTAGAGGACTTTTTTCTCCGGATCCTTCTTGTGTATTCGTTTTTATTCAATGATACGCTAAGAATAGGTCGAGAAAAAAACTCACGTATCTGAGTATGGTTGAGTGCAATTTTCTGTATTTCTTTAACCTCTGAGTATGGCTGAGTAAAGCTGAAAGATTTGCTCAAATTTCTCAGTACAGATGAGCATTGTTCATTTACTTACCACTGGCCATGCCAAAGGTGGAGCACTATCTCAAGTATACTTGGGTATGAGTTTTCCCTACTAGGCACACCCTCGGACACTCCCACCAAACTCGCCGTCGTGTGCGTTGCCGCCGTCCCACCGCCCCCGCGTTGTTCCTTTGCTCCTGGTGCGGAGACCTTCCATTGGCGCTTGGATGGTGCTGTTTTTGGACTGGCAAGAAAACACGTTACATACACAGGCATGAGACAAAACAACCGCGGGGAGCGGTAACGCACGTGGTTGAACGAACAAATTCAATCGCGTTATGGAACACCATGGGTCGTGGCATTGGGCAAGGTCACCCTTCGATTCCAATCACTTCAAACTGGTCAAACAGACTGCGCGTGTACGTGATGGATGCAGCGTAGACCATCTTCAGTTCACAGTGATGTATTCAAACAACAAGAGGTCCAAGCTACCAGGACCAGAGTCTGAAATGCGCCGGAAACAATCGAAGCTAGGGTTTGTGTTGTACGGTGAGATGCTGCTTCAATCGAGATGATCGATCGATGTAGAGAACGCAGACGCCCAGAGGTAGATCATGGGTCCGTCGGAAGTCTCGTGCATTGTGCCCCCCCCCCCCCCCCAAGAAATAATGAAAGGGAAAAAACCCCTACCAACCGCTGGGCCTTTCCAAATCAACTCCCTATGAAAATAACGTCTTTGGCCTTGTCCTCTGGGGGGGGGGGGAACTTGGGCCAAAAAAAAAATCCCCTCCCACCCCCCGTGTAACCCTGTGGGTGCCAATCCCCAAACAAAAAATGTGGGAAAAAAACCACATGTCCCTTTGCGTA